CCCCAAAACCCCAAAACCCCAAAACCCCAAAACCCCAATCGACAGAAATAAAATTGAAAATTGAGAAATAATGTCCTCACGCAGTCAGAAAGTAAGTGCTGAAGCTTATTCGGAGTTTTATAAACATATAAAGAGTAACTTGTCTATTTTATTGTCAATGATCTTCCTAAACCTCATGGCCAAACTACTTAGAATTTTATAGAAACGTACGCAGGTCATTCTACAGAAAAGAACACACTGGTAACACGAATTAGTCAATCCATATAGCCCAGAAGAAGATGGATCAATTAATGAAGCTCAACGTGAGGATGAATTTGACTCTACCAAAAGCTACCCTCATGTCCCTTTGAAACTGAAGATTATAAAAAGGTATTGACAATGTTCCATCTATAGGACTTCTTCAAGGAAATCTCCTGAAAAGACATTAAGGATTCAGGAGGATTACTCCCCAGTGTTGGAAAAATTTGGCAAGCCTCATTCCAAATTCTTGCAGAAATATTTTAACCTCAAGGTAATGACAGAGCGAAAATTGAGACGAGAGAAAGACATTGGAACAAAAGAAGCCACTACAAGCCAACATGCTTATTTTAGGGAGTTCAAGCCTGGTAAAATCAAAAAGAGTAATCTATATTAGCTAATTTATCCCTACTATGGCTCAATAGTTCATTATTCACCATGTTTAGGCGACTCAAAGATAGTTCCAAAGAGAGGTAGGCTGAGTGCACTAATTTCCAGAGTTATTTCGGGCTAAGACAAATTAAGTACTCACCACCAGCACCAAGAGAACTCCCGAGTGAGGAGAATACAGATTATACACCTGTGTTTAGCAATTTTGTGATATCTAAAAAATCTACACCCGTAAATAAGAAATGATCCCTTAAGTCCCAGATTGCCTTCCAGAAGTAAGCAAGTGTGTTATTGTAGGAAAATGTGAAGCCAGACTCCCTTGATGAGCATCAGCCAATTAGGTCTGAAAGGATCACCTGGCTTAGGCTTCTACTCCACAAGGAACTCAGGTGACTATGGTATTGGGTTATATAACTTCATAGCAACAATAAGTTCTGAAAAGAAGCCACTCAAGGCTAAACAAGGTTCAGCTTCGTATTATAAAGAGTCCCCAGAATCAGAGACTCTTCTGAAAGAGAGCAGTGAGAATTCAGGATTAGAAAAATCACTTGCAATAGACTCCATCCCACACAAATTGTTCAGAGGAAATAAGCTGACTCGAAATTCAGTAGAAAGAATGTCTTCCTCAAGAAGGAGTTGTAGGAGCCGTCAGACTGGGGTCGAGACCAACATCAACAATATCCCTGTAGATAACCTTAAAATCGATAGTCAGAAACAGTCTTGATCGACCCTTTTGGCCAAGGATGTAGGCAATAAGATTTGCAAGAGAATGTATACTGATCGATCTATCAAGCGCCCTCTTCTAAAACTTGGCAAATATTTGAAACTGAAAAGAGTGAAAAACTCCTCAAACAAGGTAAGATTGGCTAGAATCACCTATTTAGACATCAAGAGTCAAGGTTAGATCATTCAAGGTATTTCATCCATAAATTCTGTAGAAAAAGGCCCCTCCAGAAGACTTCTTAACTCTTATTGGCAAAAAATCAAGAATCAGGAGCAACCAAAGGTAAAATTATTTATTCATTGAATTTAGGAAGCCGAAGAAAGAAGGTACAATAAACTTGTCACAAAAAGAAGGCACTCAAAGTAAGAAGAGAATTGTAATCCAAAATGTATGGATTAACCACCAGCCTGAATTGACAGTGCTCCAGTCAACATGGAGTCAGAGATAGTCCATGCCATCGAACTCTTCGCTGGATAAATATATTCTCAATCCTTTCAGAATGGGGTTTTGGGGTTTTGGGGTTTTGGGGTTTTGGGG